CCCATTCTCTCCAAGTGATTGCAGAGACCCAATCTATATACTGTTTCAGGGGGGAAAAAAAGAAAGAGGTGGGGAAAAACAATCTTTTCAATATTAACAAAGTCAGAGGGAGGGATGGACTCCTTGATGAGCTTGCTAACTGCCACACTCCTAGGAAGGAATCAAACATTAAATGGTGCGACAATACAGAGAGATGGCTCTTGGAGGAGCCTATAGGCATGGCACGCCCTGTGTTATCTCAGCTCAGAAGTGGGGAGTTGGAAACAATCACAGGCTGTGAGGTTTTAGTTGAAAGGAGTGTTCTTTTAGTTAGGATAAACTTAGCCAGACCCCTCAAATCATAAATGTTAATATTTTTACCACCACAATAGGCTGCTAGAAGAGTCAGTTCTTGAATGGAGACAGTGTCAGCACAAAGTGAGATTCTTCTCTTCCATAGTAGGTATTCTAATTTTTAGAGAGTTTTACATTATTATAGACATCTTTGTTTCTCTCCAAAGATCTTGAATTTGAAGTGAGTGTCTTGACCCGATCCCTGGTTGAATTTTATTCTTTTTTTTTTCTCTGGGGGGGAAGGGTGGTAAAGAAACAGTATTTGTTGCAACAGGATTTTATAATTAAAATTCCCCACTTTTAGAGGCTTGACTGATTTTTGGAATATTCTAACAATAAGCCATGGCAACAGTTCTCATAGTGTGTTCATGGGTGGTGGGAAGCTTTGTTCGGTGGGGGTTGCTAATCTTTGGACACTGAACAGTGTTCAGCTGTGGTATCACTGGCCTAATGATGTTCTTAAGATGAGGTGGGGTTTTTTTGAGTCCCTTTCTATTTGCCTTCTCACATTTATGTTTTATGGGGACCTCTGTTTTCCACAACATATGCAAGGATGGCATTTAATTTCAAGTACAGGTGCAGAAAAATAGACAGACCACCCACAAAGTGTACATCCTTTCTCACTTTCCTGCAATGCAGAAACTGCTGGACTGTTCTTCCCAAGCTAGGGAGATACCCAGATGCCTTCTGGGTTTCTGCTCTCAGACCCTTCTAGGCATGACCTGCCTCTAGGCAATGGAGGCAGTCTCATGTGACAAAATTCATCCACAGCCTGTGAAGACTGATGTGATCTAGATACATTTAGGGTATAAAAGAAATATTACTGTGGTACTGTGCTATGGATATTTTTCCTCCTAGTTTTTCTTCATTTCAATGATGGATCTTTGGGTACACACATGTGTTTTCAGGAGGGGAGAAAGAGGAACCTCCTTCATTCCAGCCATATTGAAATCCTTATGTGCTGGGGACAAGTGTTTGATAATTTGGATTTTGTGACTTACCACTCATAAATACTCTTTTCTCATAACAGGTTGCTGAATGCAATAAAGCCAGGATTGGTAAAAAAGATCAATAGACTACCGACCCCCATTGCAGGTTTGGTGAGTATGTCAAATGGAGAAAAAAAATCTTTCTGTGCTGCTTTTTGCACCTTGGTTTTATGACTGTGTGATTTAGATAGCAATTATTTTTGTAATTTGAACTCTTCTAACCTATTAAACTTAGACAGTCACTCTGAAATCTGAACTCTCGGTGTGGTCACCTTAAGACCTTCCAGCCTTTTTTTTGAAAGTAAGCAGTATTCAAGAGGCAGAGTATATTTTTAGAGGAAGAATATCTTCTTGGTTACATATCATCTTCCAGTTGTGGTGCTAGCTTTAGAAAGACTGGAACATATGCGTTAGAAGCCATCACCACAAAAAGATGGCTTTTTGGAAAGAAAGAAAAATGTACTTGTATATTTAGTCTCATTTTCTCTTTCTCCAAAATACCACAGTCTGCAGATAACACTCATTGTGGGACTATCTAGGGAACTGTTTCATGTTGACTTTAAGGGCAGAGTAAAAGTTGGCCATAATTTGTTATAAGCGAGGAAGACCACAGAGGACGTGCTGACAGCCCGTGGCTCTCAGTAGCTCCGGGTGCTCAGGAGGTCACCTCAAGGGGTGGCACAGTCCTGTGCCTGCGTGGGGGAAGAAGGGAGGGGGCTATGAATGGGTGTTGGGTCTAACAGCATTAGCCCCATAGAAATATGACTGTATTGATTTTACCTTGAGATGTGGCTGGGAATAAAAGGATCCCTGAGCATGTGGAAGGTGACCATCCTCAATTTAGTCTAGTGATATTTTTACATACGTGGTTCATTTCTGTTCTGGCACTACTCACATTGTAGTTTAGTTGTGCAAGATTTGGAATGTATTACTTGTTGATAGCTGAGGTTAATGTTCCTTCATATAAACCACATTAAAAAGTTTCAGTGTATTAGGAACCACATTGCATTCATTATTGAATTGGTTCTATAATGTAATTAAGTAGCCTTTGAGGCTGGGTCCTTCAACCTGTAGATTGACAGGTGTATTTCTGCATGAAGACTGCCTAGTTTTAGCATTTAATTTGTGATCCCCACCACCCTTTCTCTAAAGTTTGCCTTTCTTTAGCCTCTAAAACCCATCTAGTTTTATTCCTACATAGTCCTATTTGAAAGGAATATTTTATATAAACAGCTGCAAAAGATACCAGTAGTGCAGTTTTCTTTTCCTTGGCTCCCTTTCAGGAAAGACTCAATTTTTGTTATGACTGTTTTAAGAGGATGATATTGAATTACATTGGGTTTTTTCTTATTCATATGTAAAATCCCAAAGGTAAGGTGGTTGTAGTATGAGGGACATAGAAAAAGTCATTATATGTGTGTATTTTTCTCATTCCTTGAGATAACTCTTTCTTCCAAGATGTATATCTTCAAAGCAGTACCAAAAAAGCAGTTTTCAGGCTATTAATGATACAGCTGAAAGTGACTTTTTTTCCTCTATACCTGTGTCCTCTACTTACCTTTAGTAATATCTTTCCTAAATATTTTTCCTAATAAATAATTAGTCTATTTTAAAAGTTCACTGGTGCTTCTGGCTTCTTGAACATTACCAATGGGTGTTTTTATCTACTGTTCTGTGAATAAATTGCTCCAAACAAAGCAAGCCATCCAAATGTCCCCTTGCTTTTGAAGGTGTCTAGTTCCATACCTGCTGACTTTTGTTGCCATTTTTACTTACAGTGGTAAGTGGCTGTTTTAAGGATTGCATGTGAATTTACATGATGTAGTATTCTAGTCTGTTACACGTATTTATGGTGTATTACTTTAAAGTACAGACATTAGGTGTATGTTTGAGTGCAGAATGTATATTTTTCTTTTCTCTTACCTGTACTATGTCCACATGTCTGAAAAACATTTAAAATATTGACACTGTAGTCCAGAAGCAGTTACGCCTCTGAGTTAGTTGACCGCATATGAGGGACATTCCTTTATTTATTGCTGATTTTTCTTTATTATCTTAGCTTTGGTTGGCTTGACATAGTATATAGTTGACTTCTTTCCAGTTATTTCACCCCAGCGAGTGTGATTTCCTCCAGTACATGTAGAAATACTGTGAAAGCTTCAGTACCTTTTCTGCCTTGTGTGAGATACGTGCTTTTGAACTCATAGATACTGCGTCTGCCTAAAAAGTGTAACTTAGTCATTCTAACAGAGTTAATTAATGAATTTCTTCCCAATAGCTGATAGAGTAAGTATTTAGTTCGCTAGTAGAGACAATAGGTAGGTTTTCTTTTTTACAGAGTTGGAGCTAAACCTTATAAGTAATTGTGAAGTACTCAAAGTGCCTTTTGTTTCATCTTTAACCTCCAGAGACACAAACAGTCATATATTATGTAGCTCTACAAAATGTCTACTTGAGTCTAATTCTCCAGATGATACCCTATTTTTCTCCTTTGTTATTGTAAGGACAAATCAAGAAGTGCGCTTTATTGAAGGAAAATAACAGTAAACTTGAAGCCTGTATCGGAGACATGCTGAGGTGTTAATCTGGGAGTATTATCAGGTGTAAAAATTTTGCCTATATTTTGTGTTTGAGTGATTTCGCATAACACTGCTCTGAAGTATTATGTATAACTGGTCTAGTGTTGACAGATTGAATTCTTCAAACTTTTCCTGGTGTTTAAAGCTAGATGAATCTGCAGTTACTCTGAAATTTTTACCAGTGACTTCCTCACGTGGTTTAAGAGGCAATGGATTATTTGCAGACCTTTTGTACACCAGAACACCAATCATGTAATCAAAATTTATTGGTTATAGTGTTGTAGTGTTAAAGTAAGGACTTGAGGATCTGCACACCACTGTACTAAGCACAGACCATATACTTACACAAAGATGATCTTTGTCTAGTTGCAAGTCTAAGTCAGGACGTGGATTGTATGCAGCATTACATATAGAATTACATATGTTCAGCTTGGCAGGCGTGTTTGTAATTTGCTTTGATCTCCAGAAGTGCCGACTGCTTCTGTTATCACAGCAGAAATGATACATTACTTTAATGAAATAAAACGTAGGACCAACAGTTTGGTATTCAGACTTGCAGTGAGTACTAAATTTGTAAAATGCTTTCTCGTTCCTGTTCACTATTCATTAATCCAGAGAGCTAATGCTCTCGCCAAAAAGCAAGTTCACAAAACATCCAAAGAACATATTAAACCTAGGTGGGAATAACAGGCTTTGCTGAAAGAGCCATGTTGCCAGAAGAAATTTTCTCATGTGAGAAACTGATACTGAACATCTTTGTTTTAAGACTGTCAGCTTTCCAGAAGCATCATTTAATGTATTTAATTGTGCAAGGCTGGAGAAGTATTTTGGCAGAGTTATTAATTAGAAGACCATCTGAAGCTGTACAAGTCTTACAAAGATGGATTATTTGAGTACAATGACTATAATTAATGTGTAAGTGATTTTTACAAAACCAGCAATTTTTTCAGTGAGCTGCTGTTGGTTTCTTTCATTTTGTGTGACATTCATAATGGACGCAACTAACTTTTAAGGTTTCTACTAATTGCAATTTTGTACAACTATGACTTATTATATATTTAATTCTATAGAAACAAAACATTTCCAGCATCGCTGTAGATAAGCTTTGCTCTGTAATGCTAACCACTGTATGCTGACTATCTTTTGCCCTTAAAAAAATTTCTAGTTTGTGTTTCCTGTCCCTGAATAATGTCACTCTGTGAGAAAAGAAAAGGTTTCTGCCTTATCTTTTGTTTGACAGAGTTTAGGAGAGTTTATAGCATTACTTCAGTTCCTTGAACAATCCCCACAGGAGTTCAGACACTTACTTCAGAGGCTGTGTGAAAGAGTCTCACATATAATAGTAGGAAGTAGTCAAGACAAAGTTGGAGGGCTGAACTTCAGTTTGTATCTTGGCTCATGTTTCGACACTACTGAATAAAAATCTGTTTACTGTGGCATCCAGTTTTCAGCTTGTGTACGGTTCTTAACTTTGTGACATTTGTATGATTTAGCAATGGAAAAAATAGCTCTGCAAAAGTCACCTGATTGCATGGTTATTGCACCAGGATGAACAGAACTGTAACGTGCTGTTTAAAAAAACCTGTTCCTTTGAAAACAAGGTATTTTTTTTCTATGATTATTTTCCTAGGAAGTTTCTCTTGGCAAAGCGTTCTCTGGGAACTCACTGTGAACCTTATTAAGAATAGGTACCTGTCTTGTGATGCTGGTAATTTGCTCTTATGTTGCACTGTTGCATAAATTCCAGTGGTATTTTTTTAGTCATATGATATCCCAAGGAAATGTCAGCATTGCATTAGCTTTTGGGAGTTTGTGTTTCTAATTAAGTTCAGCAAATGAGATCTTGTTTCTTCATGCAGATAGGAACCTGAAAATAAAAATACAGGACCCAAATATAGTGTAGTGTGTTTCACAGAATTAAAAAAAATAGAGAAGACAGATAAATACATGGAACTGTAACTGAGGTGCATTATTTTTATCACTCCTTCCACTAATACTAATACAGTGTTACTACTTTTATTTTAATTTTTTTTCTTAAAAAATATCTTCTCATTCTTTCTTTTAATTTCTCACTCTTCCTTTAATTCTTTGTGGTACTTTCTGGAAAGAGTCTACTCCTATTGTAATATCTAGATTCATAATACGTGATAATTTCTATTTCCTTATTTTGTACTTCTTGCTGCTAGATAAATTCATTTGCCAGCACAACTACATCCCTTAAAAAGTCTTGCTGTATGAGTTGTGGTATATGTGAAGTAAACAGAAGCAAAATTTCCTGTCTAAAAACAGTAAGTTCTTGGCACCCGCATCCCAAAAGCATTTTTGTGAATGTTGATGTAAAGCAAAGTGTCAACATCATAGCAAAATGTTGTGCAAACCATTCTGCTGTAGTTTCTGTGGATCTTCCTTGCTAATCTGAGCCAGACAGAGCGACCCTGATAAAATTCCTGTTTGAAGAATTTAGCCAGATGCTGTACGCACAAGCATTTCTAGGTTTCATGAAGAGTAGAAAAGTAAACTAACAGGTGTTTC